TGCAACCCACGTTCAATAGCTCACGCACTCACTTATTCACGCAAAATTAAACTTCCTTGGAGCCAATTAGAACAATTATAAAATTTCAAGTGTACTTGCATTCTTTTTGTTTATATTGGCTATTAGTGACAATACATAGCGAGTCTAGCACTCACACTTTTAAAATCCACCATCTACCGCTCTTTCTCTCTACTCCCTTGATAGCATGTCCGCTACTATATTCTCTTTTGCTTGGTATATGCTCTATAGTAAACTTAAATTCTTGTAACAATAGAGACCATCGAGTTAATCTAGAGTTGATGTAACTACAGTTGTTTAAATACTTCAAAGCTCGTTGGTCCGTTTGGCGTGTAAAGTGTACGTTGTTTAAATACTTTTAAAGCTCTTTGGTCCGTTTGGAGTATAAAGTATACGTGTTTAAATACTTCAAAGCTCGCTGGTCCCGTTTGGAGTGTAAAGTGTACGTTGTTTAAATACTTCAAGCTCGTTGGTCCGTTTGGAGTGTAAAGTGTACGTTGTTTAAATACTTCAAAGCTCGTTGGTCCGTTTGGGAGTGTAAAGTGTACGTTGTTTAAGTACAGTGCTAACTTCCCCACTGCCCAGATAATGACCAAACATTCCCTCTCAATTGTTGAGTACCTCGTCTCTCGCGGTAGCAAGTTCCTGCTGACATATTTGACGGGCCGCAGCACCCCCTCTTGAGCCTGCAGTAGCACTGGGCCGATGCCGCGTGCTGAGCGTCCGTCCTGAGTATGAACGGTTGGTTAATATCGGGCAGGACAAGGACAGGCTCTGAGTTTAAGTACTCCTGTATCAGCCCAAGAGCCCTGTTGCACTCCTCTGTCCAAGCAACTCTCTCTGGTTTATCCCCCGCCAAAAGGTCAGTCAGCACCGCCTTAAGATTGCTGAAGTTGGGGATAAATTTGGAGTAATAGCTAATAAGGCCTACAAGTTGCCTCACTTGTCTCTAGTTCTTGGGATGGCAATGTTTAGAATTTTATCTATTTTACTTCTCTCTGAGGTGCCATTACTCCACTTCCCACTATATGACCGAGGGAAACTTACCTGTTCAAATCCTAGTCTATTTTTGACGGTTTTACAGTTAATCCCGCTTCCCTTAATCTCCTAAATACTGCCTCTAAGCTTTTAACGTGTTCCCCCAGCTGTCACTATAAATGCATATGTCGTCAAAGAATGAGACTACGTTCTCTAAGCCTTTCAGAACTAAACGCGTTAATCTGGCGAAGCTTGCAGGAGCGGTAGACAGACCAAAAGGGAGATAATTAAAATTGTAAAGTCCCCAGGGTGTAGAGAACGCTGTAAGCTTCTTGCTTTTATGTTGAGGGGTATTTGCCAGTAGCCTTTGGTCAGGTCTAATTTAGTAAAATATTTAGCACTATTCAAATTGGCAAATAGCTCCTCTTGGTCTGGGATAGGCTCAGCGTCATATATGGTGACGGCGTTCAGCCTGCGGTAGTCAACACAAAATCGGGCAGACCCCATCTTTCTTTTTGACCAAAACTACCGGGGCGCTATAGTCTGAGTTTGACTTTTTCTATAATCCCTGATCTTTCCAATTTCTTCAATTTCTGCTCTCATTATTTCTCTGCGTGCGTAGGGAATAGAATAGGGTTTCAATCCGAATGGGTTTTTAAAGTCACTTAACTCAATGTTGTGTTCACCTAAGTTTGTTCTACCCGGTATATTACTAATAACATCTTTGAACGCATGGATCAGACGGATGAAGGTCTGTACGTTGCGACTCGGAGAGTTTTCCGTTAATTTGAATTGTGGTTAGTTCGGTGGGTTTCTGTCACGTCAGGCGTTCTAATCCTAACCGGTGGGACACCCGGTTGCGGATCATTGCCCCACTCAGGCTCCTCTTCTTCTTCTTCGATAACACCTGATACGGCCGCTAGCACGGGATGTGTTTTTGACGTATCTGAATTATTCCTGTGGTGGTACAGTATTATCCGGTTTACATGGAAGACTTTTGTCTTCTCACCGACTCTAACAACATAGTCTAGGTCTGAGATTTTGTTAACAACTTCGTAAGGCCCTGCCCATCTAAGCTGCTCCTAACTTGTTCAGCAGTTGAGGCTTTAGGACGAGCACATGGTCGCCAATTCTAATGTCTTTTACTTGATTTGTCTTATTACTCTTTGTATTTATCTTTACTCAGTTCTGTCTTTCTCGTAGCGTGCCTACACGCTGACTGTAATGTTTTGTTTTAAGTCAAGTAAGTAGCCATATGCTAACTTAGTCTTACAGTCGCTAGTTCCTTCGCCTGTAAAAATGGACCTGAGTATGTTCATAGGTCCACTAACTTTTCTACCAACATGAGTTCGAAGGGTGAATAGCCAGTGATTTCATTTGGGGACTTCCCTGTAGGCAAGCAGAGCTGCCGGTATAAAATTTGTCCTAGTCTTCCTGTCTATCTGCTGTGATTTTTCTCAGAATTTCCTTGAAAGTACCATTCTATCTTTCAACTTGCCCAGTTTAATACCTAGCAGCTTCGAAACCTTGTTTAAAATTTCTGACGTAAATTGGGACCCATTATCCGACAAAATAACTTCAGGGGAATCCCATTCTAGTAAAATTGAGACCAGAGCATCTTGAACCTCCGATGCAGTTATACTTTTAAGAGGTACCGCTTCAGGCCATCTTGTACATAGATCTATAGCCGTTAGGATAAACCCATTTCTCTCTGTGTAAGCCTTAATGGTCCAACAATATCAAGGCTAACTTGGCAAACTTGTCTCCGCTGCGCCTGGCCATCAAAACTCTGAGAAATCCGGGCTTTGGTTCTAGCCAACCCCATGTGGCCGGCCATGGGTGTGTCGTGGCCTAGTTTTAACACAGTATCTCTAAGTGCTGATGGAACGACTAAACGAATTTGATCTTCCCCTCTACTGTGTCCGACGACTTTGAACAACAAGCCGTCTACAAGTGTATACTTCTTATTGCCCTTTTTTGCAGACTTCCAACAATTTTTGAGGACGGCTAGAAACTCTCCAGTAAGATAAAGAGTTTCAATGCTCACCAACGCTCTAGGCACTCTCTTGCTGACACCGTTGGCTGTCTTAATCGTCATCCTACCACGATTCCATCTACTTCTGTCCACTAACTGTTTCCTACACGCTATGACTACAGAACCTGTGTCGCGCAAAACAGTAACTGTCTGGTTCCCTGAGACGATAGGTAGTTTTCCCTTACAATGTTTTTCCCACAGATCGCTAACTATGTTCCCTATTGGCAAGGTAAACTTCATGTGGTTGATACACTGATCGCAATCTTCGCACTCTCCACTAAACTCCGGGACTAGTCATCTTTTTTTGCTTCTAAAACTGACCTTCTTCTGTTTGTTTCTGCTCTTATCCACATTAGGTGAATTATTACGCCCCTGTCGTTGTGTCCGCTCGGTATCGACATTACAATCAGCTGCTATATGGCCCTTTAGGCCGCATGAAAAACATTTCGTTTGTTGTCGAGGCGAGTTGTTATAAGTCCGTGTAGTTTGTCGAGATGGACCCGGTGACTGCACATAACTATACCTGTCTGAGTCAAAATTCTGTCTATATCTTGTGAAGTGTGATAGGCGAGGTCCAAAGTTGCGGTGATTTCGAGCTACGTGTGTTGTGTCTATAGCTGTGTCTAGAGTGCGGAGAATTTGATCTACTAAGACGTCGGTCATCTTTTGATGCATTGGTTCTGCTATTGTAGCTATAAGTTCTGTCGTTGCATCTGGAGAGTCGCCTAGCTGTTTCGTCGGGAATATAGCGAAATAGTTGTCACACTGTTTCTCCACCTCGTCAACAGTCCTACGATTATGTATTAGTATGTGTTGCCTGATGTCTTCACTTACTGTCCTTAAGATTTTGTCTTAAAGAATCAGATCAAACAGACCGTCATAAGTTTTCTCTATCCCGCTTAGTTCGACCCATCTCTTCAAATAATGTCTAGTTATCCTAATGTAGCTTCCTGGTTTGTCCTCAGAGTTGGGTTTGGATGAGTTAAACCTATTGCTGTAGCCTGACTCTGTCAGCCCAAAATGTTTCAGAACTTCTCGTTTTAATTTGGTGTAGTCTTCTGCTCCTAGCTCAGTTAACCAGGCATCACAGCCTCTGTCTAACAGAACTTTCCTGAACTCATGGCACCAATATCTTTGATCTAACCCTACCTCTCTAGCTTCTTTTTCAAAAATACCTATCACTACCTCCATGTCCATTGGACCACCGTTACTTTTTAAGTTAATCAGCTTAAGACGTGGGACATATGATTTTGTTTGTTCAACTACCCGTTGGTTACCCAAACTTTGTTGCTCCAATTCGAGGGTTTTTAATTAAAACATCTCTTCTGATTCTATTCTTAGTTTTTCTAAAGCTCTCTTAGCCTCTCGTTCGACTAACTCTATATTTAGTTTTGTTTCCTCTCTATGTTTTTCTTCTGCTTCTGCTAGTTTATTTTCAGCCCACTCTAGTAGTTTACTCTCTTGGCAAATTTTATACTTCTGGCCCATTGCCAAGTAATAACCAAGAAACCCCAGTAATGGCAACTCAGGAAGTTTACTTAACCTCTACGACTATAGAGAATTTCACGCGGGTATATCTAAACCCAATGGTAGAAGAAAACCAGAGTCATTGCTTTCCGAGAGCACCGCACGAGGGCTGATACAAAAGGCACTTACCCCAGAGTGTGATTGTAGGTCAGGAGTGCTGGTCCAATATATCAGCAGGCTGCTGCACCTTCACACGCTCACACACAAAATACACTGGGCTTCTGGGTTGGTAGACTAAAGGATATCAACGATGAGTTGGGTAGACATCAGCGTAGTCTTCACACGGCTCACTTCGTGACTTGCTAGACTGGCCAAGGAACACTTCGTATGGGAACGTTGTTTAAGGACGTCTGTTGCAGGAACAACTTCTTAAACGGATAGCGTCTTGCGGGAACAGTTGTTACGGGAGCTTGTTGCACAGCACAGTTTAGTTTACAGGAACATGCAATACAAGAACAGCGGGTACCAGAACAGCTTCATACAGGAAAATGCAATACAAGAACAGCGGATACCAGAACAGCTTCATATAGGAACATGCAATACAAGAACAGCGGGTACCAGAACAGCTTCATACAGGAACATGCAATACAGTAACAGCGGGTACCAGAACAGCTTCATACAGGAACATGCAATACAGTAACAGCGGGTAGCAGAACAGCTTCATACAGGAACATGCAATACAGGAACAGCTGGTACCAGAACAGCTTCATACAGGAACATGCAATACAGGAACAGCGGGTACCAGAACAGCTTCATACAGGAAAATGCAAACAGTGTACCCTGTAATTATCTAGTGAATGGATGTTTGTGGAATTCTGACCTAACACATGCCACATGAGAGTATAAAGGGTACATGCCACATCACAATTGGGTGAGCATGTATTTATTAAACAAAATACAGAATCCATTTTTTTGTACTACTTTTTAAACAGACGTCTTTTAAAGGCTCCAGATTGAATGGTATTTAAGAAGTTTACTGAGTGTTGAAGCTGTGGGTACTCAGTGTTACTGCAGTCGGTTCTTGCTGACACTGCTATAGGTACTCAGTGCTGGCGCCTTTGGCAATCGATTACATTGCTGTGGGTACCTAGCCTTAGCAGTGGGTACTCAGTATCACTGCTGTGGGTAGCCTACTTTGTGGAGAATCTGTGGGTGTACAGTGTCATTGATGTTGGTACTCAGTGCTGAAGATGTGGGTACTCAATAACACTGCTGTCGGTATTAAATGCCAGTATAATGCCACTGATGTGGGTACTCAATAGCAATGCAATGGTTTGTGGGTCTTTTCCTAAATATTAGTAAAGGTACCGGCAGAAGTAGGATAATTGTATGCGTATAATTTATGCTAAGCGCAAAATCGGTATGTCGCGTTTTCGCGACAGTCGGCGTTAATGGGTTAAACAGATGGCTTTTAAAGGCTCCAGATTGAATGTAATTAGCGATGTTTATTTTCGTAGTTTTTGTAAGAGAGGAGTAAGAAACTTCCTGACTGGGGCCTAATGGTGAACTGTGTCGATTCCCGTTAATTTCGGAGCTAGATCTTTTACTTTTTAATCTGAAAGCACGAATTCGACCGGTTCCATGACAAATAATCTGAGGACAAATGATCTCAGACACAATATCTCAGACAAAATATCTCACGGACAAATGATCTCAGGACAAATGATCTCAGACAAAATATCTCAGACAAAATATCTCACGGACAAATGATCTCAGGACAAATGATATCAGGACAAATGATCTCAATGACAAATGATCTCACGGGCGAAAGATACTAGGACAAAATATATCAGGACAAATGATATTATTATCAAATAATCTCAGACAAAATATCTCAGACAAAATATCTCACAGCAAAATTTTAAAAGTATGTACGATGATTTTAGTTGATTTGAACTTTTTTTTATTGACTGTCAATATGGTTTTGTTTACTTTTTACGCGTAATAATTGTGATTAAAATGAATCTGTTAAACTTAACAAAGCATCAAAAGATTTATTAAACTTAATCCTTCTAACAGCATTTGATTTAAAAAAGTAAAAATGAAAACTAACCTATTCCTGAAATGTATAATAAATGATAATGTATAAAACAAACATACAACATTAATGTTCAAAACACACGAAATATTTTTTCAAAAATGTGAATGGGTCTTTAGGTTTGTAACGTTAAATTATTGTTTTTATTGCATCATGAACACAAACGAAACGCTTACGTTTCTATGCCGGCAGGTACATCGTTATGATCACACCTCTCCAATACTATGTGATCACGTATTGTATGAACTCTTGCTTTACATATTCTATCTTCACATTTCCAAATCTCCTTGCCTGCTGTTCCACTTCTGGCTTTTATAAACATAAATCACCAGAAGCAAATGTCCTATACCCTTTTTGAGAGGCCTTAGCTGAGTAATCTCCACTAATACTGCTTTGTTTGCATGCACACTACGACAAACGTAGCTCCGAGTTGACCGATGTTCGTCTTAAATAAGCATTTGTCACCTAATCACTAAGGTGTGACCGACGCATAACTATTGACTTTAGATTTTAGTTGTGTTGTTCATGGAGGGTGGATTTCGTTCCCTTAAGGCAGTGGTTCCCAAACTTTTTCGACTGGCGAACCACTTTTATAAAAAGTAAGTGACCCGCGACCCCCATAGAATTAAAAAGTCGAAATTAGTATGGAAATTAATAAGCACTAAAATAAGATTTTCTAGTAGACTTTCAATATGAACTACTCTTGATAACTGTTTTAATACCATGATTAAAACTGCATGCTATTTACCAAACATTCGAGGTTAAGTTTTTATTAACGCCAACCTATGTCATTATCAACATTCAATTTATTTCTTAATTTTTTTTATAATCGGAGAATAGTGTTGAAAATCTACTCTCGAAAAGTCAATCAATTTACGTTTGGGTATGAATGGTGAATACTACACCAAAATTCTGTGAACATTTTTTCATCTTACGCGAAATCATTCTGCAAATCAAAGAATGCATCTTGTAATTCATCTGGAATGCTTGCAACATCAAGGGAAGAACAGAATGGGTAATGCGTCAATGCAGATTCTTCTTTTTTCAGCCCAGAGAAATAGCGCTGTATTTTGGTTTCAAGAGATTTAAGATGCCCATCTAGCACAGTGCAGAGTTTCTCAAATTTACAATATTGTCAAGATTTATTTTCTTCGCCGATTTTGCAGCTAGGTATCATACTCTCTCCAACCACTCTATGTCGTTTTAAGCATACCAAAAGGTCTTGTTTCCTTTGCACTTCCAAGAACAATATGATTTCAGATTTCAATTCAAAAACACGATTCACAACATTCCGTTTGACAGCCAGCGTACTGTAATGTAGAAAAGTAGAACCTCGTGATCTTTATTCATGTCTTTGCTCAGTTCTTTGAAGTCTCCAGATTTAATATAATTTACGACTTTTACTAGCAATGGAGTCATGATGGCAAGGACAGTGGTTAGGGAGCTAAATCTTTTCTGTTTTCTGAAAGCCCGATTTTGACCTGAACGTAGATGGCGCACCATCCGTTTTAACCCATCTGCTATAAGCCGCTGAATATTAGGCAGAGATGTATGTTGCATCTTTACTGCACTGGAATCCCCAAGAATTAACTTCCTATTCAATTAAGTCTCTGACGATTGCAACTAGCTTCATGCCGATGAAAGAACTCCATATCTTTTTTGGTGTGTTCCGAATGACTCGTCTCAAATGACGTTTTAGTTTTGAAGATTTCATAAACTCGTGACTGAGAACAACTTCATACAGTAGGCATTGCTTCTTCTCTATTCCATTTTCACTGATGTTAGTAAAGCCGAATTTCAGATACTCTTCTAGATATTTACGTTTTTTTCAATGCTAGGGTTTAGTCTACCAGTTGGCGACCCCATAGATAGCCCTTCGCGACCCCCAGTTTGGGAACCCGTGCCTTAAGGTATGTCTCTGCCATCAAAGGGGCGGCCACCTTGTTACAAAGTTGTGTCTTTATTGTTATTTAATTCCCTTTGATCTAGTTTCGTCCACTTGACGTGGTAGGATTGTCTCATCTTTGGCAAGCCCACCTAAGCTGGCTATCGAAAAATTTCTTTAATCTTCACATACTATATTAGTAATCTGAATTTTAACATGTTTAATGAAATATGACACATTTATGCTGCAAATATTTCTTAAAAACTATTATATAGGCCTATAAACAATATTACATATAGTAAACAATACCATATGACAGTCAATAAAAATGTGCAGATCAACTGAAATCATCCAATACACTATTACAATTTTGCTGTGAGATATTTTTTCTGAGATATTTTGTCTGAGATCATTTGTCCATGATATCATTTGCCCTGAATTTTTTTGTCCTGGTATCTTTTGTCCGTGAGATATTTTGTCTGAGATAATTTGTCCTGGGATCATTTGTCCTGTTACCCAATTTTTATTATAGAGATTTAGAAAATGATAAAAAAAGAGTTTGTTAATAAATGGCTACGGTGCTATGACTGATACGGTTGGTTAATTTTCAAGAAATGTTGTTGTGACGCGATTGAACGATCTGCCCAAATGTGCTGTCTGCTAGTGTTCTTGACATTCATTTTTTTCAATGTTTTAAATTAATGAAATTAGTTTAATAAGACATAATATATAATGTTTTATATGTTATAATAAGTTGGTGTATTTTCAAAATAGTATTAAATACGGAAATCAAAGTTATTTTTACCTTATGTTCTGCGCGATGGCCAAAAATTGTATAAAAGGCTACTTCACATCAAACACTATCTGCCTATTGTTAAAACAAGATGTCTCGCCCAAAACACGCAAAAATAACGATTACAAGTATGAGCATTTAATATTAACCATGGAATAATGTAAAAACGGAACCTCGGTGTTATTGTTCCCCGCGGCTATCATTACCATGACGACGGTTAAAAGTAGATCAAGCGATAGCTTACTTTAATTATGTCTTATTTTTTTTTTTACGTCTGTTATTGAATATGACTATTACATTTACTGATATTTTTCTTTTTATGTGCTTTATTTTCCTTTTGTACTTCCTTTTCCTCTTATGAAAACAGAGAACATTTTGAATTTGCACTATAATATTAATTACCAAATTAAAAAAACTAAACTTAAACTTAAGTTTGATCTTCATTTCAATCCAAACCTAACTTCTAGAATTTATTTATTCCATATGTGCTGACCATAGGAAGAAACCTGGCTCTAAAACAGCAGGCGACAGACCCTATCACCGTGGATGGGGATACAAGCAACTCAAATTGTTTGAAATCTAGGAGCTGGAGGGTTTCCTTCGCTAGACCGTCTTATATAAATAGCATCATCATCTACATGAACGATCCAAAAAGTAGTTCGTTACAGTAAAATAGAACATGTTTCAAAACATTACTTCATTCGCAGCCAAAATGTTTGGATTTCTCTTTTATTAGACAAAATCTGGTCCATCACAGGGAACATATTTAGCTATTGTTTATACAAATCTCATCACATGCATCAATAAAGATGAGATTTTCTACTGTATACACAACTTTGTCCTCTACGGCATTTAGGTTATACTAGACTACCCG